ACCAAACAACATGAATCAAACATGCACTTTATTTATTTATACTAAATGTCAAAAGTACATCAAATCGGATTGAAGCTAAGGGCATACAAGACTGTCTAACAATTATTAGTGCAATGTCTTTCTCTGAAGTTTTTTTTTTTTTTTGAATTCTCTATGTTCTGCAGCTGGACGTGACCTCATCCCAGCTTCTTGTGACTGATAATGATTTTAGGGATCCTGATTTCAGAATGCAACTATGTGAAACAGTGAAATCATTGTTAGCTCTGAGGGTTATTCCTATTTTTAATGAAAATGATGCAATCAGTACCAGGAAAGCTCCATATGAAGTAAGTTACTTTTGGATTTGGATTTTTCTTTTTAATTGGAGGTCTGTACGTCATTTAAAGATATCATTTTATCTTATATCACTTTTTCCATTGGTACTTTTTTATGTTTTATAATAGAGAATATGTTGTTCGTTAAAATTATTCAGAACTTTGAAGCATGAATGGGTCAAGGCTAAGCCACCATGCTTGACTAAGCAGGGTTTTGACTATAGACAAGATTCTGTCCAGGTCAGAAAAAATTACTGAAGTTGCACTGTCTAAGAGACTAAGAAAAGAGGGTATGCTGCCTAACCACTTATTTATTGGTAATATTGCACAACAAAATGAGAAATGCAAACCCGTATATACTATTTAGGAATGAGTATTACTCTAGTGGAAAAAGAGGAGTAGCTACATTTAGATTTTAGAGTAGTTTTTTTTTCCTCATTACAAATGCTGCCTGAAGGCATGCTAGCCATGCCTACAACAACTTAAACTCCCATCCCCCAACCCCAAAGAAAGGATTAATTTAGGATAAAGGAGCAAGTAAAATGCTCTTTTTTTTTTGAAAAAAAGTTAATCAAGATTCATTAAAAAAAGGGGGGGCAAGGGAAGATGTACAAAGCAGGGGAAGAACCCCTATAAATTACAAAGGAGGAAGCTTGTCGCTATAAAAATGCTCTAAGAACACTCCACATTTAGCTAAGCCATCTGCTGTATGATTGTATTATTCCCTTGGAATCCAAACTAACTTTACATTTAGGAAGTCCAAATAGTCCCTAGCCTCATCAAGATAGTGGCTTAATCTCCAAGGTCCTCCCTCTTTGTCTCTTAACCATTTTATAGTATTGGCTGAATCACCTGCAATGGTTACATTTTGAATTCCCAATTTTTTTATAATTCTGATTCCTGTGAGGGCAGCCATGACTTCAGCCTTTGTGGAATCTGCCATGCCAATTGGGCCGCTGAAAGTCCAACAGATGTTTCCCCGTTCGTCCCTTAAAGTTCCTCCAATACCAGCTATTCCGGGATTGCCTATAGCACTGCCATCAAAGTTTAAGATCATCACTCCTTCACTGATGGGATCAGGAATTCTCAGGGGTGGTTGATGGAGATGAGGGAGAAATAGAAAGGGGAAAACATCTCTATTGAGGTCATTGGTTGAGACTCCTTTGAACAGATCTGAATTCACCGTCCAAATATTACAAAGGTAAGAAATATCTGAAATTAGCTCCTCCAGGGACCTTAGTTTGTTGTCAAAAAGCCTTTTATTTCTTTCGTCCCAAACACCCCACAGCACTGCGTGTAACGCTGATAGCTAGTAGGTTTTACCCCTCTTACTTAACCCTGTTCCTTGTCACTGTTGAAGAAGGTCCTTGACATCCTTTGGTATGAGCAAGTAAAATGGCATGAGCAAGTAAAATGCTCATGCCATTCATGTGTTAGGTAGCTACCCGTTTACATGTTTAAATATTTTTATGAATTATGTTCCTAATCCAAGAAATACTCCATTCTACTTGTTGAAGCATCAACACCTTTAGATTGCACACTTTTGTCTCACTAATTTAACCCCATCCTTTTAAAAATAATTGAAACACTACCTGAGGAGGTTTTGTCTTTTTTCCTCCTCTCAGCCCCTATTCTCAGAATATTTTTCTCTTTAATCTCTTTTCTTAGGTAAAATAAAATTTTACATTATTAAAATAATTGTACACTTGTTTATTTCTCTCTAAAAGGGTTATTACCTAATGATGGTCCCAGATATTTGGGGTATTGGGAGGGGTATATTGGATATGGATCTAACATTTGGCATTTTACCATTATACTGAGCAATGGCCCCTAACCCCTCTTTCTCTCTCAAAAGAATTATAATAAAATTATATTCTTAATGGAGTTTTGTTTCTAAATAAGAAACCACACAAACTTTTAACTTGGGCCTCCCCCACCCCTTCCTCCACTCCCAAAAGAAAGGGAATAGAAAGAAAGAGATAAGAATAATAATATATGCATTAGTATAACAATATCAATGCAACTTCAGACCACCTTATTTTCTTATTTTTTTACTGGAGTTTACGGTCCAGGCTTTGATGATTTGTTTCTTAGCAACACATACCAGTTAAGATTAGCCTAAAGGCTTTATTTTGGATCATTTCATAAATCTTAGCCTTAATGTCATGCATTTGGATTATTGGACAAAATTTGAGTGAGGGATTTTCTTTGTTTATCTGAAGTTTGTGGCAATGGTATGATGACACGATATGATGATGATGCAGCAGTTGTTATGAATATGGTTGAGAAGGAAATTGAGTTGGTGCAGTTGCTTGGAAACTGAGAAATTGAATTTTGCTAAAATAGTTTCGTTAGTCCTATTATATTGTTCAACCACCATCTTTGGTTAGTGGTTGTATTATTTTTGTTAAGATGTGCCGAATAGGGGTAGTTTAGTCTTCTTCTGTTTGTTAAGTAACTTGCTTATGTGGCAGTGTTATTAGAGTTACTCTGCCCCACACTTAAGTAAGGGCATTTCTGTCTTTGTAAACATTATTAGAATCTAATATAGATTAAGGGGGTCGACTGGATGGGTTAACCATCAGATTTTCGACAGACCCTTCTTCT